CGATTTCTCTGTTGGTGGTACAACAGTTCGGTTGGTTCAGCAACAGTCACTGTAACATTGTTGTTTGCCATTTCTGATAAACAAAAATCGATTCAAACTTAGTAACCAATAACTTAAATTGCAAAGTTAATAGGAGTATGAAACCACAAAGGTTTTTGTCTCCACCAGAAACACAGATTAAAAATAAATAAATAATTTCCTTAAGATTGTTGTCCAATCTGTGTCTAAAACAGTACCACTGGTTAAAATAAACTTTACAGAAACATGAAGTTACCAAAGTTTAATGAACCAGTGAAAAACCAGAAGAACAAAAATTAATTCACAAAAAATTAAAACTGTAAAACATACCAGAATCTGAAAAAGACAGAACGGAAAGGGATCAAGCCCATTGAATGCACAGTGTCCCCTTAAGGAAATTATTCCCCTCTAGTATCCGATGTTTGATTTGGAATATGTCCTCCCATGATAGAATAATTTCAATCAACAGTGTAGTGATACCCAAAATGTTGGTGTTAGCGAGCCACTCAACGGCAGTAAAGTACACGAAAAATATTTGTGCAGAAGAAGAAGAAGAAGAATTCAAAAAATTTCGTAAGTTAAAAGTCTGAAGAATAACTGGTATTTATAGCCAAGAGGAACTAGTTTCGAAAGGTTGCAACCTTTCAGAAACCACACGACCATTTCAGAAAGTTTGCAACCTTTCAAACGGTCATGGTTGTTCCTGAAAGTTGCAACCTTTCAGAACAGTCATCTCCAACGGCGGGAAATTCAAATAAAATGGGAAAGTAATTGAAATAAAATAGGTCACGCGGATCCGAGTCGGGTCGGAACATTTCAGTTAATTAACTAATTAATTAAAATGTTTTGGCCATTTAATTTTATTTAATTAAATAGATAAATAATTAAAAGAAAACTTTGTCCAAAAATAATCTCTCGATTGATCATTTTCCAAAGCCAAAGCCGGAGTCGAGCAAGCGACGACGACAACGGCACGAGAGGGGTCCCTCTTTCCAACCCTTTTAACAATTAATAGAAGTGTTTCTCTATTTAAACTCTTCTATTTTTCTTTTCACCACCGATGAGGGAGAAATGCCTTTTTACTAAAGCATAAGAGGACTTTTCAAGTTCCTCTCTTTTCATCTTCCCTCCATTTCCCATTAACTCTTGCTATATACCCAACACTCGCCGAATTGTCCCAAAAACCTTAAGCTTCTGTCCATTTGGGCGATCTAAAGTTCCAATGGACGATCCGCTGAGTATTTTTGGCGAGGAGACCTCCAGATCACCAATTTGGCCGATGAGATTCATTAAAGTGTCGTTTTCTTTTATTTTTATGGTTTTCTTACGTTTCTAGAAGGGTATTCTTGACCTTTTACCCTAAATCAACTTTTCTAAGTTCATTTTATAACCTAATAACATCATTATACGTACAACAACTCTCAAAATCCCCAATTCTCATTCTTCCAAAGATCAAGAATTCTAAAAAAGGATTTCTCCATTTTTCTCAAGATCTAAAGGCTCCAAGTTCAAGAATCCTGAGGTTTTCGATTCAAGATTTCTTCTCCACTCTCCATCTTCAATAAAACTGCAAGGAAGACAAAAACTAGGGTTTCAAGTCTTCCAATCAAGTTCTTCTTCAAACTTCTTCAAGAACTTTGTTCTTCCAGGTATGTAAGGTTATTATAGTGATGGGCTGAGTTCGTCCTCATACCCTACATCTATCTAAATTCAATAAAAGAGTAATTTAGTGTTCTATCCTAGATTTTGAGTGATCTTGAGATGAGTAGTATCATTGAGTTCTAAGTTTTTGATTTCTGCGTATTGAGTTTTACATATTGTTATTGAGATCCCTGAGTTGATTTGTTCATGTCTATATTTCAGCATGAACCCTATTTTGAGTTATAATTTTTTAGAATCTTTTAAAGAATACATTTTGTCTTAAACTGATTTTCTGAGAAAGCAAAGATGAGTTTTGAGAAAGAGTTTTAAAACATAATTTTAGTAAGAGTATAAGGGAACTAAGTATTTCGAAATGTATCATTTTGTACATTGAGAAAAAAATTATGATTCATGATTAGTATGACAGTCGAGTATGTCATCAATGTTTAAGCAGTATGATATCTAGATATGTCATCAATGTTTATGTAGTATGACTTCTCGAGTCATCAATGATCATATCACACTATGATTTTAGATATAGTTTTGAGAAAGAGTTTTCAAATATGAATTGGGTAAGAGTATAAGAGAACTAAATATTCCCAAAGGTATCAGTTTTTACATTGAGAAAAGAGAAACTTTGATTTCTAAATGAGTTAATGAGTTCAGACATATTTCAGAGCAGATACCTCTTTTAAGAGGTTATTTTGAGTAATTACTCAAAACAGAGAAAGATTATGTTTTATACATTTGAGCATATTATTGGGAGTAGTATTGAGCACCGATATAGGAATGAGTTCAGACAACTCAAAATCCTCATAAACCATGTCTGCCAACAATGGTAAAGAATCATACTTTTTATATGAATCTTTATTACTTAGTGAATCCACTTAGTTGAGAGGTTCTATACCTCGGCACGATATAGGATAGTTCTGGCAGCATGGGCAAGACGTTGTATCATCACGTAACTCATAGTGATGGTTGTCGGTTAGAGAATCTCTCAAATGGAGTTAAAGTGCATTTCTACTACCACTTAATATATTGAGTTCAGAGATGAGTAAGTATTTGTAAAGTTTAAATAATTTCACTCATTTGTTTCTTTACATTCAATTGAGTATCTTGCTTGAGCTTCTTCAATTCAGTTATTTATTTTCCTAACTATATTACATACTTGTACATTCAATGTACTGATGTCATTCGACTGGCCTGCATCTTTCTATGATGCAGATATAGGTGTTCAAGATCATCAACAGGCGCTCTGTTGAGATCACTTTTCATTTCTTGCTAACTTTGGTGAGCCTTCTTTGCATTTCGGAGGACTCCACTCGTGTCATTCAGTTTAGTAGTTTTGGAGTGTTGTAGGTCTTGTCCCAACATCCATGTTAACTATAGAGGCTTCATAGATAGTTAGTGTTGAGTTTCTGTCAATTTTTCCTTTGAACTATTTTGACAAACTATCATTATTTTCAGAGTATTTTCAGACATATTTGAGTATACTATTTTGAGATAGTTTGAGTTTTGAGAAGTTTTGAGACTTTTGAAATTAAATTTTGAGACTTTTGAAATTAAATTTTGTTTTAAAACTTAAATTTGCTTGAGTTAGTCTTCCGCTAAGTAGTCAGTCAGGCCAAGGGTTCACTTGGGGATCAACAATGGTTCTCGAGTGTCGGTCACGTCCAGGGTGTAGGTTCAGGGTGTGACATTACATTCCCTCTGTCCACTTTTAATTGCTATGATTTCCTTTTTTTAGAGTCAAACTATAAAAACTTTGACTAACATTTTACGATGTATTTTTTAATCATATTGATATGCAAAAAATTACAATTTATAGTAATTTTCGTATAGTTTTTGAATATCTAATTTTTTTTGTTTAAAATATCGAATTAATGTTATCTAAATTAACTTTGAAAATTAGTCAAAATTGACTTTCGAAAAGCGCAACATGATAATTAAAAATGGAGGGTGGAGTATTGCAATAACTATGTAATTTCGGAGTAAATTACTCCCTCTGTCCATCTTTACTTGTCCATTATACTAAAAATAGATATCCAACAATACTTGTTCAGTTTGAAAAATCAAGAGATAATTTACCTCTTATGTCTATTTTTCCCTTGCTATTAAATACTATTCAATATCTAATACAATTTTCAAATTTAATATATTTAAAGGGCACTATAGTAATATTACCCATATTATTTATTATTTCTTAAGGTGTGTGTTAAATCAATAGTGAACAACTATTGTTAGACAAAGGAATTTCATAATTTTAATTTTTATCCCAACTAAATATAAAGATAAATTCATCCTAAAATTTGTCTAAAAATTAATTATTTCTTATAATTCATACTAAACTTACCAAAAAATAGACTCGATCAATTTTTCAGTCAGTCTAAAAGTTGATCCATTTTTGCATATTTTTTGTAGGGGTTTTTGGTAATTATTTGAATTTTTTAAAGTTTATTATGTTAGTTATATTAAATTATTCTATTTAGCAAATTTCAAAAAAAAAAACTAAAAATGCTCGTGATCATTACTTGAAGGACAAAAAATAAATCTACTTTCATATATATGCAATAATTTTGGCTAACAATTCACAAAATTACGAGATAGGAAACACAAATACATGATAAAACTTCAAGTGTATTTTTGATCATTTTCTTAGTAAAATACGAAATAACTTTGATAAACAAAGTTGGAATTTGAAGCTTTGACAAGTGAAAATTAAGGAACTATTCATGAAGTTCAAGAATTTTGTGAAGTTACAAACCACGCTTGTGATTCATGGGGTTAAAATATGTATAATTTAAAAACCATGAAATTATGCATAAGGTTCAAACATTTATAAGTTACTATGTGTTTTAAGTAGATGTATTTTTGTTCAAATTTTATTTCGCATTTAAAATAATTTCCATGTTACGTTTCATGACTAAAAACTCATAGAATTTCCTGAACTTGATCATTTCACTTAACATTTACGTATCAAATGAGCGAACTAGATCAAATTTAAGCAATTCAAAATGAATTAAATTAATGAAAAATAGTGAATCAAAACTACTTGTATTAATATGAGCTTAGATTAAAAAATAGTGGATCAAAGCTATTAATAAAACTTTTATATAATATCTAAAATTTTATTATTTCTTGAAAAGCAAAACATAACAAGTATAACAAAATACATTTTTCTTTGAATACAAAATTTCAAATTTGTCGATTTCAATAAAAATTTGTGTTGTAGAAAAAGACAATTTTTCGATGGCATATCTCCATTTCACCCTTTCGTTGTCAAGTATTAGAGGTTTGGCCTCATGCAAGGACATCTTTAATACCAAAAAATAACACGAAGGTAAAATCGAAAAATAAAAGTTGAATGACCATCCGTGAAATTACAGATACATGAAAGTTACATCTAATGATAATACAAGTCTCTCTAATAGGAAAATACAAATACCAAACACTACAGATGAAGAAAAACATAGAGACAATTTATTACTGATGCATAACATTATAGAATTCCACAGCATATTTGATACCAAAGAACTATCCCATGTAACTTTCACCAGTGATTGATCAATGCATTTTTGAAGTTTCAAGCCTTCTGTATAAAAAAATAGAAAAATGTAGTGAAATGTCAGTAGCTATATACAATTCTCAAACCAAAAAATGGAAAAAGAAATATATCTATCGTTTGCAAACGAGTACCAGAAAGAGGTTCTTGTAGTATTCAACCAGTTTCTCCGGTTCCAAGACCTTTGTTTGCTTGTATCCGTCAAGCTTGTCCATTTCCTACAAGATGATTAAAGCACAATTAAAAAAAGAACAATCTGATGAAGGAAGCATCCACGTTCACGCTGAAGGATTGGAATATGTTGCACACCGAAGGGGTGTAATGTAGGTAGTCTACCCTAACATAAATATCAGCAGTTGATTCCACAAAGAAACAAAGGTGATCTTAATAATTCCCGACCTTAGTCTCTAAGCTTTTCAAGTGCAAGGACCCTTTTCTACTGAGATGAACATTCTTAGATACAACTTCTCATATAAGTAAAATAAGTATTAAGAGTAATAATACTTTGTATATAATATTAAAATGTTAATCATACTTAACACTACAGATCTAATATTACTAATACCTCAATCCATTTGGCTAGTTTAGGCCTCCCGGATGTAATGTCATAGTTAAACCCCGCTGGTATGAAAATTTGAAACCTTTCGATAAATGGAACATATGCTATGTCAACCTAGCACAACAGAGTTTCATGTCAGCACAGAATCTCTATGAAGTTCGAAATCTAAGAAAAAAGTACATCCACACTACTCTGTACTGGTTGTCGAGTATGTTTTTGGCAAAGCTACCATCTCACACGACACATCATCACAAAGGAAAACAAAAAGAAAGAAAGTAATGACCTGACTGAATTGACCGAGGAAGAAAGGTCCATCGTCAAATTTGCCGAGAGCTTTTTCTAGGTAATCGAATTGTGCACCTGGTACAAGTGTTAATACCATTAATTTACATGAGAGACATTTAACAAAGAATACATAACGAGTTTTAAAGAAACAAAGCTCAAATCTCACCAGCCAATGTCTGTGCATCTCTCATGAACGATCTATATATTTCCGGGACGAATGTATCACTATAAGCTATCAATTCTTCAGCAAATTTCTGCTTTTCAGGATCCTGCATCAATTTGCCAATATTTTCTTTTTATCAATTTACAACTTAAGATTTTCCTAAACAGACAGGACAATAATGAACTTTTGCAGCTTACATCCGGCAAAAGTGATGGTCCTTCAAAGTTGCTATCAATATATTTAACCAGATCCAAACTCTCTCCTATCACTTTGTTGTTGTGCTCCAGGGATGGCACCTGAGAGGAGTAAAAAATATGAATAACTGAAATCGTAAAATGAGATTCTCTCTGAAGATTTATACATTCACTTGCTTCAAAGTCCTTAAATAAAAGCGTATGTGCCAATTGGATGATAGATAAGACTATAGCATTTATGCACTGGCTCAGTCAATAACCATTGAATTCGAAGAGGAAGAGAAATCCTTTTCTCAAAAATTCATGGACATTTTCTTCAGGAATTCTCGTACAATTTACAACGAGGCCAAATGCCACTGTCAAAATCTTAGCTCAAGATTTTCACTTCGTGTGAATACAAGTGAATTGGGCAAGCGAAAATGAATATTGGTTTGGTGGAAAATTACCTTATTTGGGGGGTAAACTTTTTCCTTGTACCAATCAGGCCTGTTCTGAAGATCAATTGGAACTAAGTTGATCTTGTCTTGCAAGCCCTGCAATTCAAAATGTTAGAAAAGTCATCTAGGTAAGCAGGACCATTGCCAGGTATAAGAACACAAGGACTGAATAATCTCAAGTAGGATAGAAATTACTTCCAAGTTGAAGTTTACAAAAGGCATCAATAAAATCAACAATTCTAAGTAGCACTTCCTTTCAGAGGTGGATAAAACTTCTGAACAATGGGTTCATCCTAACCAAATATTTTGGACATAGAATGTGAATATGTATACGAAAAATCACCTAAATTTTAACGACTATTAAAATCTGAACCCCGTGATTTTAAAAGTACAATAAGTTTAATGCTTTTAAAACCTTAAAAGGTTGAACCCATCATGTTTGGATCGTGGCAGTCAAAAGTTGGGAAGACATAACTACTTTCAGTGTGACTTGACACAAAAAGTAGAGTTGTTTCTTTACTGTCACTTAAGTCACCGGTTTAGAGAAGTGAAACAGCCTCTTCAAAGAAATACAAGTGCAAACTGCAAACCACCATATACACCATTTTACCCCAACGGCCCTGCACTAGCTACTTATATATAACACTTCATGCACAGGTAGCCATTTCCAATATCCAGGCTAGACAGCATCACAGAATGAAGCAGTATACTAAATTTACAGAGACTGAAATCTAATATGACCATGCTCATCCAATTAAGACTCCCTTTTTTCATTTTATGCGGCGGTATTTGACTAGACATGAACTTTGAAAAAGAAAAAGGATTTTTAACACATCAAAAGTATCTTTCAACTTTCAATCTTACACATGACATGACATTTTTATAGCTATAAAGATCTGTAATTACGAGTAAAATGGTAAGTTCAAAGTTGAAGAGTCTCCAAATATAGAAAGTTGTTCATCTTTAACAGACTGCAAAGAGAAAAGCGAGATAAAGTAGAATGGAAAGGAGCAGTAAAAAGGCGAACCTTAACATTCCTGGTAATCCACACACGTTGAGCATAGGGGCATTGATAACTGATATACAACCTTCAGACAACACAATAGGCAGATCACAATCTTCACTCAGATAAATAACACCGTAACGATGACAAAGAACACATTTTTCTTAAGACAAACAAGAGAGAAATTAAAAGAAAAAGGTGATTAAACCTGGTAGTTCCATCAAAGAGAGACGGGGGTTGAGAAGTAGAATCCAGAGATGGTGGTAGAACTTCCTATACACTTCTGTACAAATAAAAGAATAACCCCCATCAACATTCATATCAAAAGCAAACTTAACAAATCAACTTACATAAAACATGCATATACAACCATTACTTAATCCAAACTTTCAAATCAATGGTCTTGTTGTATCACAACCCCCCAACCTTAAACCCCACCTCCCCTTCATCTTCTTCTTCGGTGACCTTTCGTGCACTCTCTACTAGTTTCATGGGATACCTACCACCTAGCACTAGCAACAACAACAGGTACCTAGTAACACTTCATCTTCTTCTTTTCATATAAAAGGTACTCAACATCAAATATCCGGTAAAGAAATGAACTTTGAACCTAACTCAAACCCCCAAAAGACCATTCATTCCTAAATCACTCACAGCTAAAGCTGGACATCTGAAACATGGACAATTTCATATGACACTCAATATATGAACAATTTTATATGGTACCCACTATCTATTGCTTCACTTATCTCATATCTTGCTATTTTATTGTTTTATTTGTCTTACAATCCTGCTTTAGATACTTTTCTTTCGAGCTATCGTCTATAGGAAATAGTTTCTCTACTTACATTCACTTTTTTTTTGTGAAATTATATCGAATATGTTGTTGTAATGAGCAATATTTCTCAAAAGAAACGTACCTCAGAACTTAACTCAATCTCTTAATTACTAACTATTTTGAACAAATTAAACACGTCTGATGATCAATTGAAAACAAGAGGAAGCAAATTAAGACTTACGGAGCAGCCATTGATGTTGATTTTCTCTGCAATTGAAGACGACCCGGAAGTGTAAATTTGATGAAAATGAGAATTTTGGGAGCCTTTTATATTAGATGGAAAGGAATACCAGTGGTGTGCGAGAAGAGCAGTGACCAACTGTTCGTTTGGTTGCGAATAAGTTATCCGAGCTTAGTTATTTTAAGATTGTTATCTTATTTTTATCGTGTAATGAAAAATAATATTATGAATTTGAGATAAGTTGTTTGTGATTTTATCGTAATCAAACCTGAGATAAATTCATCCTTTCGGAGTTAGCTATTTCTTATAATTTGTATCAAACGATAAACTTAATTGATTTTTTAAGTCAGTTTCAAAGTTGATTAAATTTCAGCATATTTTTCGTAGGATTTTTTAGTAATATCGATAGCCATTTAAAGTTGACATCAACTCTCACTTAGACATCTTATTAGATTTTGTTCATTTTAGACATTTCATTTTACGAGCTTCACTCTGTCATTTTGTCACATTTTTCACAATCTGTTGACCTCAAGTGTGTGTTAGCCAACCATGTCTACGTGGATTAAATGACTAGTTATATCATGACAACTCATTTGTAACCACATCATATTGTATTAAAAAGAAAAAATAAGGGTCAAACCACATGATACAGTAATCAATAAATGTCATGTGATCACCAACATGGGTCGTAGTGCACTGGTGAGAGTGTTTCACCGTTAACCAGAGGGCTCGTGTGCAAGCCCTAAATATGAAGAAAATCATGTTGGGAGTGGGCTTCGAACACCGGGTGGGAAATTAAAAATAAAAAAAAAAGTCATGTGATCCTTTTATTCAAACAAGTACAAAAATAAAAATAAAAAATTGACAAATTAAAATACTAAATAAATAGTGACAGTATGAATAGACTAAAATTATAATTGTAAATATTTTTCTTCTTTTTTACTTAATTTTATTCTCAATTCTTTAAAAAAAAAAAAGGAGTTCAGATTTAGCTTGCAACGTTAGTATGTTATTTTTTACTTTTGAACAAACTCATCTTCTTCCTATTTAGCTATTGCAACTGAAGAACAAATATGAGTCAAAAAATACTGGAAGAGGTAGGGATTGAAAAATGGGGGGGAAAATAGGTTAAATAAGTCTGACGCGTCATTAACAAGTGTATAACATTTACTTGACCATACAACAAAAACTGTCAAAATGAAACAGAAGGACATGACATGAAGATATCTAAAATAAACAAAATTTAGTTAAGATGTCTAAATAAAAATTGGTGTCAATTTTACATGGCCACCAAACACTTAGTGGGCAGAGTTAGCGATAGTGCTTCATGACGGAATAGCTACAGCCCGTGCTTGATAATAATCCAATGTGGTAAACTGCCGAAGAAAGGCTAAACAATTGTCAGGAGCTTTTCGATTTGGAAAATGAATAAATAATTTATCTACGAAATTGTCCCAATTGGCAAGTTGGTTGTTTCGGAAGAGCCAACGATACCATTCCAAAGCCTCGCCATCCAAATAGAATGAAGCCCAGGACAATTTATGCTCCGATAATATGTCATAGAAGATGAAATACTTCTCAGTCTAAATCACCCAAACTAGAGTGTTAGTTCGAAGCTGATATGAGATGTTAGTTCGAAGTTGATATGAAGTTTTGATGATTTAACAAACTTATCGATTTAACAAGAAACCAGATCCTTGTTATTGGAACTGCTGACAGGGAAGTGAATGAATACACTCAGTGTGAGGAATATTTGTGTGTAATCATCAAAAGGGGGGAAAATGTTATATTCTAGGTGTTTTGATGATCCTCACAAATGCAGGGACCTGGTCCCCGACAAAGTGCTCTAGTCCAGATTCAAATGAGGTACAACTGTAAAGCTGTCACGTCAGGTGGTAGGTGAAAAGTGCAGTGTCCTACACCAATAGGAAGAGCGGACGAGATTGTCTGTTTCAGTGTCTCACAAATGTAGGGACCTGGTCCCCAACAGAGTTCTCTCTATCATCTCCATCAGATGCATAATGGGGTACAGCTGTAAAACTGTCGTGTCAGAGGTTGGTGAGGCATCAGTGTACTACACCAATCAGAACGGAGGAGGGTGTTTGTCCAATAGGTAATAATTTTTTATGGTTGATAATTTATACATGACAAACACCATAATTAATTCATTCATCCAAAGAAGGAATCAGCCAGCAAACCTTTCAAGAACTCATAAAGAAGTTTGCAAGGGACCTGGTCCCTGCAAGACTGCGATATGGAAAGGTGAAAAGACAGTTGTCAGAAAAGCTGATACGTCAGAAAAGCTACTACGGCAGGTGCACAACTTTTCTAACAGCAGGCCTTCAGCCAATGAGATTGGCTCAAGGAGTTTGTGTTCACTTTCAATATATTATCTCTTTCCAACAAACACAAACTCAAGACTTGGCAAACTAAACTTGGATTTTCTCTGAAAATTCATAAACTTGAAAAGAAGGTCATCTTCAAGGAAGAACATTGCTCAACTCAACAAAGGGATCTGATAGAGTGAAGAAGAGTCTTTGTTGTACTTAGAGCTTTGTGTCTCATGTGCTTACATTGTAAATCTGATCCTAATCTATAAAGGATTCAGATCTTGTTTCGGTTTCTAGATTTTTTGTTCGGTTTCTAAAAGCCTAAATCAATTGAGTTTAACTGGTTTAGTGGGCAGCATTGTTTTACTGCTTAGTCAAATTCTAAGTCATCTAGGAGCTAGTTGATTTAGTGGGCGGTGTTGTATCCGCTTAGAAAAGTCTAAGTTATCTAGGGGTGATAGCTTAGTGGGCAGTGTTGTATCTGCTCTGGCTCAGCTAAGTGATAGGAGGTATTGCTTAGTGTGGAAATTAGCAGGCTAATCTCATTTTGTAAACTGCTTTTACTTTTGCTTTGAGAAGATTAGTGAAAGCAGTTTGAAAAGTCCTGGCAGGCCAGGTCGTGGTTTTACTCCCTTGAGCAAGGAGGTTTCCACATAAAGTTGCTTGTTCGATCTTTACTTTCAGCACTTATTTTACTGTTTGTTATTGTAACTGTGCTGAGGACCTGGTCCCATCGAAACAAGTGGACGCATATTTTTAGTTACTGTTCTTGCTGAGTCAAAGGACCTGGTCCTTGACTGATAGCTGGACACATACATTCCGACATAGAGGATTGTCACCACTGAAACTACCCATTTCGGGGGATTGAGGTAGGTCCATGCACCATGGTAGATGGAATCAATGAAAGCACCAATATAACAAACCTGAATTGATCACTATATTATAAAGAACGAGAACATGATTATAACTTTAGAATAGTTATTACAAATCTCAAACTACTGAATTACAATGGAAATATTGAAATTAAGAGTAACTAATGATAAAGATAAGAATGGAGATAGAAGTTTAGACTCCAGAAAGAAGATGAGAGGATCTTCAGAATATGTATAAACGTTCTTTCTCATCTGCCGTCCTTTTAGTTAGTTGTATATTAATTGGGCCTGGGTCCCAAATCAACCTTTGCAAAGGCCTTCCAAATTTGTTGCTTCTTCTCGGCCTAAAAATAGTTGGGTGGCATCCGTATAGATATCCACATTGGACCGAGGCTGGTTCATCGAAGTTGAATATTGAACATGGGAAAACCAATTAGTATCCAAAGAAGAAGCAACGCCTCATTGTGTGGGTGGCACATAGGGATCTTCCAACTTCAACTTCTCAAACAATGAAGCCAAATTAGTATCCACTGCCATTGAAATTAAAAACTGAAATTCAAATAAATTTTGCCTCAGATTTCACTAGGATTTTGTGGGATGATAGTAGAGGAAGAAAAAATGGGGTAGTCAGGTGCACGATGCATCTCGTGTTTATGAATTTTTAGTAATAAACACACTTCTAAAGGGATGTACATGGTAGTGTAGCTACATATCCTAACGTAACAATTAGTGATTACTTTCACAATTTATATATACTTGTGATTTATAGATTAGATGAAGATAACTTTATTATTTCTCCAACAATAAATATAAGGATCGAAATAAAACTAGAGGGTGGAGTTGATTTTCAAATAAGTAAAATACGATCATCCAATGTTTATAAAGAGGTCGACATTAGGTATTATTATTTTCTTTTGCATGAATGATATCATTTTCTCTTATAATGGCATATCTTCAAAGTTTAAAAGAATATTAAGAATATAGTTTGATATGAAAAATTAAAATGTCACTTCGTATTATTTTCTTGAATGTCACTATATAAATATCACCAATGAATATAATATGATGGGTGAATTTACACTCTTAATTGAAGATTTCCATTCGAATTTAAAAACAATTGAATTATTTCTTTCTTACGTAACACAAATATGAATTAATTAGACGAATATATTTTCTTAAAACTCCAGTAAGTAGTAATAATTAACTTGAAAATCTATGTAGTATTTGAAATTTATTTTATGTTTCATTAAAAATAAATCATATCATAATTATTTCTTATAAGATTACGATCTATTATATGTTATAAATACAACTGATTTATAACAAGTGGTATAATTTATCTTATTTACGTGAAATACGTGATTTTAATTATAAAATACTGTCGTATCAATCATCTAAGTGATAGAAACTATTACGTGAATGTAGTGAGTGATTTTATATGTAAATGGTAAAAATAAGGTGACTTTAACGTTAAAAAAATATATATATGATTTTGTGTGAAATAACAAAAATATAATGATTTTTCTGTTATAAAACAAAGAAAGTATTTTTCTTTTCGTAATTTTTATTAATTAAATGACCTTCTGGATGATCCAACTCTGATAATAAGTGTTAATTGGGTCATTATTTGAGAAAACAACATATTTTAATTAGAGTATATTTTTCAAATAAATGGTAAATAACCTGATATAACATGTTAATTTATAACTAGAGTTGTCAAAAATGGCCAGTTCAGCCTCACGGACCAAAAAAATTGATGGGATAGGGCGGGTTGTTAATTGGGTCATTATTTGAGAAAACAACATATTTTAATTAGAGTATATTTTTCAAATAAATGGTAAATAACTTGATATAACATGTTAATTTATAACTAGAGTTGTCAAAAATGGTCAGTTCAGCCTCACCTGGTCCAAATCTCGCGGACCAAGAAATTTGATGGCCTAGGGCAGGTTGGCCCTTTATTTGGAAGGACCTGAAAATGCTCAACTCAATCCAACTCTAGAAGGACCGCGGGCTGGGACGAGCTAACCCTTTTTTTTTTCAAACTTAAAATTCTATAACACTAAGAAAATGAGAAGATTTTCAAATGAAATATGACAAACAATGGTGTTGTTTCAATAACACTAGCAAAAAGTGTGTGATTAGCATGTATCTAGGATACAAGATACGTGAAATACATGTATATAGTGCGATGCATCCCAGATACGCGAGTGAGATAAGAGAGTGACCAGCGAGATGGGAGGGAGGTGAGGGCGCGGAATTTGACTGTGTATCCTAGATACATGTGAATCCACTTGAATAGAGTGTATCTAGAACAAATTACACATAATTTTGAGTTTATGTATCCCGAGATACATGTATCTGGATGCACCAAAATCTGATAAGATTCGTAATATTACAACATAGTGTGTATCTAAGTAATTAGCTCATACACTAGTGAGATTTCTGTAAGTTACCCTTAAATAAATAATTTTGGCCCATGGGCCAACCCCGATCAAGTCTCAAGGGACAAGGGCTTATATGGGTCAGACTTATAATCCCTAGTTTTAAATGGACTTAAAAAAAATCCTATTACAACGCTACCCCAATAACGGATTGGGTTGGGTCGACCTCATGGGCAAAGCCCATTTTAACAGCTCTATTTACAACAATGATATAAATAGGGAAACTTACATAAATATATTATATTAAGACAATATTTACTACTATTTATAACAATAACATTTTAATTTTCACTTGATCACTTTTAATACATTTTAATACATATATATTACGGAGAATAATTTATAAAACACATATAATACAAGTTTTATAGATGAATATTACATTTTACACTTATAATACAATGTGTCAATTTCTTACCAAACAAGGATAATATATTTTAAAACGGTTATAATACATATATATTGCATACATAATTCACTTTTAATACATATTACAAGATTTATCATAGTATTACTATAAATGGTAATAAATAAAAAGTACTCCTTACTAAATTAGTAATTATTTTTTATGACAACTAAATTAATAATTATTTATTAAAAGGTACATATTCAAGTAATTTATTGATATAAATATTTGTTACATTATTAGTGAATATAACTTCAATTCATACGCAACTAAAGAAAGCAATTTTTTTTAATAGCCAATTGGAAATAGGTTTAGGCAAAAAAAAAAAAAAATCATATTTGAGGTTTCAAATTGGATATTAAGCACCGAATATGAAACCAAATAAAAAGTTACAATTATCACTAAAACGTAAATATTTCAAATAGGACTTCTCGATGCCAATCAAAATTAAATAGGACTAAAATAAATATGGACTTCTCAACGCGAATCCACATTAATCAAACATCAAAATAAGTATCTGACAACAAATGTGTAACATTAGAAAAAGTCCAAACTACCACTAAAAAGTAAAAATATTGAGTCATACTTCTCGACGTGAGTCAAAATTAATCAATTATATCAAACATCGAATATAAAATAAAATACATAAATCTAAACTACCATTAAAATGTAAATCACCGACTCGATCGAATTATATGCCAAAGTGGGAAATCATTAAGCAACTGTTCTTTTTCATTAATTTAATTATTTAAACCTCATTAGCTGGCTAATTTAGAACCAAGGGGATCAACTTTACAAGATTTTATATTATTTTATGGGGAAAAAAAAGAATAAAATATACTTATAAAAAAAGAATTAGAAAAATAATGAAAGTCCACATTGAAAATTATTCTAAAACTTCACATACCAAAGAATATATTCCTACAATTTCTTGAAGAAAGAATACCAACTTCTATACGTAGACAAAGGTTGTCCCTAACTAAAGCTTTCTCTAAAATAAATAAATAGAAAATTAAAATGTTTCAAAATTAAATTTAAGGAATAATAGAACTTTCGATTTCAAGTTATTGTAATACATGACTAAACACATTTATTTATATTATATGACTTTCAGAACATAATATATTTCGTGTATTGGATTATTCTCAATGAGGGGTAAAAAAAAAACATAATTAAGAAAATTGAAGCTAATCTAACCATACGTAATCATTAGATTTGATAACTTAATATCATTAATCATAACACAAATATTTAATTACATGACAAAGAATTCCTTAAAACTACAAATGCAAATTATTTTAAGAAAATAGGAAATTAGCATTTCTAATCCCTCAAATATTGATAAATTCTAATTGTGATTCTTATGAGTTATGATTTTTGGTTAGACATATTTAATTTTAGTGTATAGAAGGTAATATAATTCAAAAATAGTCTAAAGCACACACATGTTAGTTTTAAATGAATATTAGATTACCAAAATATTACAAGGACCTAAATAAGAAATTGCTAATAATCAAAGAATCATAAGTAAAATCAACCAAATATATATATAATTTTACTTATTAAATATTTTTGACATGTAGGTTAATTTCAAATCTTCTTTTAGTTACTTTCACCAATTAATCGCCTACGTATTATGTTAAGCTACTCCATACTTAACAGTAATAGAATTATTCTAAATATAACATACATCCTGCATAAAAGGATCAAAAACACACTTTCAATTAACTGAAGGTTAAATGTGTTTACCTAAATACTACAAGGACCAAACAAGAATTTACTAATAACTAAGGAACTAAAAATGCAATTTTTCAAAAAAAAATCAAATAATTATGACACATGGTTCATTTCAAGTCTTTTTTAAATTAATTTCTCAAATATTTGGTTACCTATTCAAGAAGAAAACTCCAAGCAAACCAAAAGCAAGAAATCTATAGACAAAAGAAAGGCATGAAAATAAGTTAAGGAATATCTAAATTGAAAGAAAACAGCCTTAAGCATCTCAAAAAAAGTTTAACAAATTTTGTATAAATATATATGTAACACAATTGATTCAATATTTTCTATACCAACAACACAAAAAATTACAAATTTCTTATATTAGCAAAAAAAATGGATTCAAAGGGAGCAGCACCAAATCAAGTTTATGAAGATTTTGTGCCAACTACAGAGTTGGTGCAAGAAGAAGACTCTGATACTCTTCTCCTTGATCTCACAGGTGATCTTCTTTTACTATTTTTTTCGATCGATGGAATGAGTTGTTGTCTCCTTATATATATTGTGTTTCGAGTGATATTTGCCTATGTGTGTTAGCTTTTGTTGTTGCGTCAGACTCAAAGTTCATTTCCTTATAGTTTCATGTTGTCGTAAGCTCTGTTGCACAGACTCCAAATTCCAAAATCGTTGTTGCATGTGGGATCCTAAATAAATCCTGTAATCCGACACACACCTGACGATATTTTGATTTTTGAAGAGTACAAGTAATACAAACTTTATGTCCTTAGCACAATGTCATTATTTTCACGGGAATCCCACAAAAATATCAGATGACATAATAGGATGTAAATGTCACATTTGTTGCTCGGACCATCCAAAAATTTTGCTGACAGATTTTTGAAGAGTCGGAGCAACATAACATAACATGTGAATGTAGCTTATATTATGGTCTTTTTTGACATTTATTGTGATGTTGAAATTGTGCAGGTTTCAAAAAGGAACAAGTGAGGGTTCAACTGACCAGAACAGGAGTTGTGAAGATCAGTGGACAAAGGCCAGTTGCTGAGAGCAAATGGCTTAGATTCCAAAAGGATTTCCCTATTTCACAAAATTGCGACAAGACGAAAATCAGTGCAAAGTTTGAAAATGGCATTCTTTATGTCAAACAACCAAAACTGATAACTACTTCATCAGAGAAAAAAGATCAAGAACTGCCAACATCTGATGCCCAACAGCCCAAAGACGAGCTACAACCAACGTCTCAGAAGAAAGATGAAGAACAAACAAAAGACAAAAAAACACAAACACCAGCACCAACAGAAGAATTGCCTAAACATCAGGCTACTAATGCTGAAAAGCCTGAAATGGAAGAACCAAACACAAAAGAAACTAAAGATCTTGCAAATGAAACACCTGCTGAGAATACTGGTGCAAATAGCACTGTGGAAGATGGAAATAAACCGAGTTATGCATGTAAACTTGACAAAGATGCATCTATTGGAACTGCAGCTGTTCTAGCTGAGAAGCTGAAGATGCCAAGGAAATTGATGAACATGACTCTGATTGCTCTTTTGGTTCTTGGAATTGGCCTATATATCAGCAATAAGATGAAATCCAACAATTAAATAGCTGAAGTTGGGATATTTGCATTTCTCCCAGCTCATGTGAGTGTATATGAAGAAAACTCACTGACTACATGAAACTCTGATTGCTCCTTCTTCTCACTGCATTGCTGAATTGTATACATCAAACATTCATTTCAAAAATTTGTATCGAATAAAAATACAGTATGACATGATTTATACTAAGGTTTTCTGATATATGCCTGATGTGTGCTTATTATTAACAAAGAGAGTTAATGGTCAAAAACACACATGAACTATCGATTTTTCACGAGTTTCATATCCCAACTATCAGTTCCCTATTCCTATCTGAACTATCACCATCGTTCAGGTAGAAAAAGGGAACAACTAATAGTTGAGGTGCGTTTTAATACATAGATGGTGATAGTTGGAGTAGGAAAATGGAACAACTGATAGTTGAGGTGTGAAACTCGTGAAAAAGTTATAAGTTAGGTGTGTTTTTTACCATTATCTCAAGGGAAAATAAGATCAATGAAGAGTATATCTATGTTTTACGACTAACTATCACACCATGATAGAGGGAGGCAAAAAAAGGAACTCCTCAGGAAAAACATTCAGTAATGTAAGATATTGTGAGGAGTTACTAACTACATGAACATTGTTGCAGTTGAGGACAGTGAGCACAATAGACGAATCACATTTCAATCGAACTACTATGTTTTTTGATGGATTAAGAGAAAGATAGATAACATAATAATCTCAAAGGTATGAATCTTGCTAGTTATTAACTAGAGAGGCTAGAAGATATAAAAGCTCATTGACATTATTATATGACTATTTTTGTCTGTCAACATTTTGCTTTGGAACATCAATATACTTAATAATAACACATCATTTTGGATGTGGGACATTCTAGATTGAATCAAATATGTAATTCCTATTGAGGATGTGAAGGAAGGGGCTTCTGATATGTGTTGCTTGTTCAAAACCATATGCAATTTCAATGAGTGTTGGCTCAGAACCCTTTAGTCCTCCAAATGAAATTCCAAACGGAGCTCCAGTTTTATCATAACCAGCTGGTACATTGATCCCTGGATAACCTCCTATCGCGAGAAGACCAGCAATGTCAGCACCAGGTGACATCAACGCGTCTAACTTATTTTCTTTCATCATCTTCTCAAACCCATATTTGCATGCTTTTGTTATGTTCCTGAATGCCTCCCTTTCCAGTTTCCCTATTCCATTTGTCTTCTCAGCTTCCAACATTATGTCTTGACCATATTTTTTGAGTTTTTCCTACACTGATATAAAAAAAGAAACAAAAGATGACAAGGACAGTAAACAGTGAATCTGACCAGCTATTCATATAAAGATCCTTAAAAAGAATGAAAATAGATAAATGTCGATTCTACTTCTAGTGACATACATAGTTCAACTAATTTCAATTAACAAGTGAAAAGCTTTTAGTTCCTTGAATAATCTACTGCATTGGAGTGACTTTGGCACAAATATGACAGAATGGTTACAACGATTCGTATAACATCTCAACAGTTAATTGATCGACTAATACTTACCCGAGCTGAAATCTTGTTGAAGGCTATAACATCTGCCAAGGATCGAACTTGAGTGTGGACTAAATGTTTAAGATATGCATTAGGTCCATCTTGAATTCAGCAGAAAGTGCTATGTATTGAGCAACAACAATAGCATTGTAGACTAAGTCGGTGTAAGGTATTACCAGGTTGTCAACTAAGACTGCTCCTTTTTGCCTTCAAATTGTTTTATCCCAGAACAGAAGTTTGTCTCTATTAGGAAATCAAGTAAAACTAAACTATAGAAAGGCATAATACATCAGTAGACACGTTAACTTGGCCTCAACCGGTAACTAGATACTTCTAACTTAGAGGATGCACATCTAGACACATCAGCTTGTTGATCTATTGTGTCAGTTGAACACTCCCAACTTACAAAGTGATCATCTAGACACCTCAAATATTTATGTGCCATGTCAGCGTCGGGTGTCCACGAGACACACTGGGAACGAGTTGAGGTGTCTAGATGTGCATTCCCAAAATTTGAGTGTTTACTTGTCAGTTCAGACCAATTTTGAGCGACTATCTGTGTATTATGACATACAGAAATGTAGGTTAAAAACCTAAAAGGTTACCTTAAGGTGTTAAAATGCTGTTGGTAAGTTTTGATATCATTGGAACCAAACAAGTCCTTTGAAATTCCTAGTCTTTTATCTCTGAGCCCATCAGCCTTAAGAAATTGCCGGTATCCACCATGTGGAATGTAAGTGGAAGCCTTTTTAGTTGCTGCAAAATCATCTCGATCAAAGCCAACGATGACATCAAGAACCTCAACAGCATCAGTTACTGTCCTGCAGATTGGCCTGTTCTATACCAAATAAATTGTGTGAACATTTTCTATGTTGATGTTTGTCACCATGTTCTTTGCATATTTGCATCTCTAATGTACTCCATCCATTCTAGTTCATGTGGCCTATGTTCTACTAGTCTGTTCCAAGAAGAATGACACAATTCTATATTCGGAATTTTACTTTAAATTTCTCATTTGACCCTTAATAAGAAGTTTCTATAGCCACAAAAATGTTATAACATGTTTAAGACTACACGTTTCAAAAGCCAACACAAAAGACAAATCTTCTAATGAAGGTTACATATTCTGTCAAGAGGAAAAAACTTACTAATATTGTAGCCGTTCATGGTTATGTTGGCCGAGTGATCTACCAATATGTTAGTTTCAATGACTCTCGTTCGTTACACTTCTTCCTTGTTACTTGGCACATACTAGGTATCTGGTTTACCGCTTTTAGGTATTAGCACTATGACTTCCAATCTAAATAGTTTCAATTCCAACCAATCTATAGTTGATAGTACATGTCGAGTCAAACTATGTCACATAAATTGGTACAAGAGTACTACTAGGGAGAAGTACATTCAAAAAGATTTAATTTTTACATACCCTACAGTGTCTTGTCTATGTGAAATTGGGATTACACCTGCCCTGCTAGTGAGTCCAACAGTTGGTTTGATTCCAACAACAGAATTAGCACTTGATGGAGATAGAATGGAGCCTGCAGTTTCCGTCCCCAATGCTACTGCTGCCATGTTTGCTGCTATTGATGTTGCAGAACCAGTGCTTGATCCTGATGGATCAGCACTTGCTACATAAGGATCCTGTAAGAACATGAGTAAAAAGCATCTCAAAACAGTTTGAAAAGAGAATACAGAAATGAAAGCATAACAACGACGAAATATAGCGCTATGGAAAGCAGTACATAGCAAATAGAGAAAGAACAATAATAACAACGAACTAGTGCGATAACAGAAGCATAGGAGACACAGATGATAACAGCAACCGACGAACAAGAAATTACTAGAATAGAGCTAAAACTATTTGTAAGAGAGTAGGTATCAATACCACCATCCATCCTACCCTGCATGAAAGCGAGAGAACGTTCAACTACCAACTACAAAAGGACAGTCTGATGAACAAAGCATTTCGCGTTCACGCTGGATCCAGCTAAGGATTGCATGCCAACGGAGTGTGACACTGGTAGCCTGCCCTGACATAGTGATTGATTTCATGGCTCGAATGCGTGACCTATAGGTCAGGCCAAGACTTCACCATTCCTCCAACTTAAAGTCGAATACATTTTTTAATCAAATCATAGACTACTTCAAATCTTTGTTTCTCTTCATTTTTATCTTTTGCATCTTAACTAATCTGACAGAGGCGGCAAAATCGTTCAAGACCACAAAGATTAAAGGACATTTTAGTACGTAATCTTTAGTTTAAGACCACAAGATTCAAAAGTCATCTTTACTTTCTTAAACTCCTGCCAAGTCAAAACCAAACAAACAAATTGAAACGGAAGGAGTAATAAATATGGATATAACTAACTGACAATGACATGTTAAAAATTCACTAGTGGTAGAATAATCTTTATACCGTCAGCGTATATAACTTAAATTCTTATTCTTTTACCAATGACTCACCAGAGCTTGTCCAAGTCAACCATTCCATCCATTAGGCAAGTTTGTAGATCTAAAAGCAGCCCATTCAGTCATAGTTGCCTTGCCAAGTATGATAGCACCAACATTCCTCAACTTCTTGACAACACCAGCATCTTGTGGCACAATTGATCCGACAAGTGCTAATGATCCTGCTGTTGTGTTAAGCTTATCTTTTGTTGCAATGTTGTCCTTCACAAGAATTGGAATGCCATGTAGCCTAAATAGTGATTTAGACGCGTTCAATTCTCGTTCTTGATCAGCCTTATCTGCAAGAAAGAGTGCATCTGGATTCACTTCTATGATACCTTTTAGAATTGGATTGGATCTCTGGATTTCACTTAGATAGAACTCAACAAGTTGTCTTGAGGTAAGTTTGTTTTGCTTGAAAGCTATATGAATGTCATCAATAGTTGTTTCTTTAAAAGAGAATGTTTTTGCCTCAGTTTTGTTACTAAAGTTTGATAATATCAGAGAAATGAAGACAATAGCAAGAACAGACATTTTTTTGTTGTTAAAGTGATTGAAGATGTTTGCTTAGTGTGTGTGTATAGCTGACTGTGGATTGGGGATAAGAGTCTTGGAGCAACGGTAATGTTGTCACCGTGTGATAGGGCGGAGCCAGTTACTCCGTCCAAACCGTTTTCGACGAAAGTTTACACTATGGTTAAAATTAATTTTGATGTATATATAGTAGATATTGAACCCCTTTTGCTTCTTCGTGTGTTTAAGTCTTTATATGTTGACTCTCTTTAGTGAAAATTCTAGCTCCGTCACTATATGTGACCTATAGGTTATATGTTCGAGCTGCGTGGAATTAGTCAGTAATACTTGTGTGAGGGTAGACTGTTTGCATTACACCCCTCATGCAAGCATTACTCCTTCCGAACCCAAATATTAGTCGTTTGGACAAACTAATTTTTTTCCAAAATCTTTAATGTTTTGAAATATAAGAAGTCATTTACTTTCTTTTTCTTCTTCCAAGTTTACCCTTGGTGCTTCAATTAGTGGAGTGTTAATTAAATGAGACGTTTAAAAGAAAAAAAAAAGGTTAATTTAGATTAATATTTTTATAAGTAAAGTTATTAAATATATTTTTTAAGGAAGGATAATAAACAACAACCACAACTTTCCCAAATGCCTTTTGAGGGTCCACTAATCACTATCAAACTTTATTCT